CTAAGCTGAAGGGTCTATAAATGAGAGTTTGGTTTGGTTCTGAATTGCAGTGGTTCTAGGAAAATGTTGTTAAAGTCAATATGACAAAGTTTTGTTGTTACACTAAATGTTATAATTCTGTGAGAAATCTGTAGGTGAAATTTGCGTAGGGAATAGCTTTAGATCTGCGTTACATGTCCCAGAGAAACAGAGTGATGGACACAGCCTTGTGAGCAATTGCCTGTGGGTTTGATTGCCCTGTTTGTCCCTTTGGGCTTAGTATTGCAGCAGCACCACAGTGAGATTATGTCATTTTTGTCTCCCAGGTGCCATTACCTGTTCTGGAGAGGATTATAAACTACTGGGAGTGGATTTGTCAGAGCTATCTGAGCTGGAGAGAGCCCTGGAGGAAGCAGGCCTGGACAGTGATGTCCCCACCCTCCTCATTGCTGAGGTGGTACTCACCTACATGGAGAACAGCAGGTCAGTCGGGTTCTGCTGATGTTTCTGTCTGTGTGCATCACCCTGGGATGGGGACTTGATCTCTTCAAACTAAAGCCTTGGGAATTCTGTGGAGTCCCAGACAGCTCCTTACAGGTTGAATGTGATGGTGAAACTGATGTGCACATGACATCCTAGAAGGGAGAGAAAACAAGAAGAAAAATCTTTAACAAGTGATTTTGAGATTTTTGTTCTCATCCCCTGAAATACCTGTGCAGATGGGGAGGGGATGTGCATAAGGCCCAGCACAGGGGGCCTTATTCTCCTTTGTGTGTTGCCTCTTGTCAGGATGCCTTACTAGCAGGAAGGGACAACTGCATCTGTCATGTGATCATCATCATCCTGGAGGTGTTTGAGGCCTCTGGACCTGGTGCTGGAGGATATGGTTTGGGGATTAGGGGTTACAGGAGTGACAGGTTAATGGTTGGACTTGGTGGTCTTGAAGGACTCTTCCAACCTTGATGGTTCTGTCGTCGGTGAGCCCTCGATGATTGAGTTTGTCAGGTGTAGTCTCCTAACAGGTCGGATGCCTTGATCCACTGGGCAGCAGAACGTTTCCCTCGGGCATGCTTCCTGCTGTACGAGCAGGTGCACCCAGAGGACCCCTTTGGACGCGTCATGCAGCAGCACTTCATCCAGCTGAACTCTGCCCTTCACTCTCTGGCACAGTACCCTGACTGTGAGGCACAGCAGAGGCGCTTTCTGGGAATGGCAAGTACCTGCAGCTCTAGGACATCATCGAGCATGATTTGGGTACATGATCATGGGTAAAAACTGAAATAGTGGGTACAAATTGAAAGATTAGATATGAGGCAGAAGCTTTCCCTGTGAGGGTGGTGAGACACTGTCCCAGGCTGCCCAGGGAGGCTGTGGCTGCCCCAGCCCTGGCAGTGTTCGCAGCCAGGTTGGATGAGCCTTGAGCAACCTGCTCTGGTGGGAGGTGTCCCTGCCCAGAGCAGGGGTTGGCAGTGTATCATCTCTAAGCTCCATTCCAAGCCCTTAACATTCTATGGTTCTGTGATTTACCTGAGAAAGATTGGAGCACTAAGTGCTTGGCCAGTTCCAGTGCAGAGGCTCAACGCTGCCTTCTCCAGTAGCATGACCAGTCATTTGAAGGTGCTCCCAGCCAGCTTGCACCCTACTTTCTGATAGAGGGTTAATGCATGATGTGTTCCTCTGGGACTTTTGATGTTATAAATTCAGTTCTTAAAAGCTTTACAGATGAGAAATCTATTTTCGCCAGGTTTTGGGCTGCTGCTCTTCAGCTAAACAGTCTCATAGGCTCACACAAGTGTTTAATTTAGGGTCTTTTTTTTTTCTTGTAGGGAGTTTCTTCCAGAGGTAATAACTTTGAGGGATTTCTGTTTCAGGGTTGGACCGAATGCAGTGTTATGGATATGAATGAGTTTTTCACCTGCTGGATCCCAGAAGATGAACAGCAGAGAGTGCAGGCTCTGGAGCCTTTTGATGAGTATGAGGTAACTCTTCGTTATGCTTAAGATCAGTGACCTGACTTTTTCACTAGGTGTCTGCAATTCCGCGTGGTCCCAGTTCTGTGCAGAGCTGCTGAGGCACAGGTGTTCATGGAGGCAGGAAAGACCTTGGATCAGGTTAGTTAATGCAGAGCCCACAGGGAGCTCTGGGTGAAACTGGGGCAAGGAGCTTGGGAAAAAGGCTTACCTGGATGTTAGAAAAGCTTCTTGTCCCTGCCTCAGTGAGCAGCCTCTTGAGGGAACAGTCAGCACAGCAAACTAGCTGGTGTTACGAAAGATGTTGGAGATGCTAAAAGTTGCATGGATTCAAGGGGCAATTTCTGTAATGAAAAAAATCCACTAGGGATCACTGAATACATAAAAAACCACCCGATGGTTCCTGGCTGCAGGTGGTTGGTAGCATTCCTGGGGAAAGCAGAAACACTTGTTCTGCTCTCTTCTTCCATTTCCATAGACTGTTGTTTGTTGTCGTTGGGTACAGGTTGCTAGTCTCAGATTTCTTTGGTCTGACTTTATACAGCCGTTCCTGTATTAGTGATTGAAATTCAACTGTGGGTCTGTTCTTTGCCATTTTTACTTTAGCTGCTGGCAAAATTTGGGACTATATGAAATCCAGAAGTGAAGATAAGTCCAAGATAGTGAGTAACTTTGAGCTAAGTATCCTCTGGAATACTTACTGGAGGTTTCTCTTTTGTTTTTAGGGTTCCCTGTTTATAATTCTCTCTAGAATTCTAATAGCTGCAGTATGAAAACAATTGAACGTGCTTGCATTTATCATCCAGCACAGACCATGTTGCACCCTTGAACATTTGTGTTATCTGTGGAATCACATATGGAATTTGGATATCATTTGGAAATTGTATTCCACAAACTTTAAGAAACTTTAATCCCTCTAGTGTAGAACCCTTATTCTTTGCTATGGTCAGAACTGGGAATCATAAAGGGAAGCTGATTCCAAAAAGAAAAGCTTCCTTATGCAATATGTAGTTGGGAGTGGTGAGACACTGGGACAGGCGGCCCAGGGAGGCTGTGGCTGCCCCAACCC